GATGAAAAAATAGAAGAATAGAAAGTTGGAAGAATGAAAAATTTGAGAAATAAATAAAATATCATGTTTAATAAAGAAGGAAAATATGAAGAATGGAAAAGTGGATGGATTAATTTTCCTTCCAATTCCCCAAAATCGGAAGAAAAGTGGATAGAAAGTTAATTATTTGTGTTGAAATATATCTTATTTGTCTATATATATTTTAATATACACATATATTATGTATATATTAATTTCATATAAAATATGTATATATATATATATATATATATATATATATATATATATTAAAAATTTTAAAAAATAAATAAAAATAATAAAAAATAAAAATAAATTAATTAAAAAAATATTTTTTTCCTTCTTAACTTGGGGTAAAAAATTTTAACTCAGCACGATGACACGACTCGAACTCGATACGAATTTGTTGACACGAACTTGATTATAGCTCGATACAAATTTGAAAATGACCTGACACGCGAATAAAAAATATAAAAAGCTCATATTCAGTTCAATCAATCAAACTCAAAATTGTCACTATCAATCGGTTTATTTAAAAATAAAAACTTTCTCTATTTTCTTATTTGTATGGTAACATGAAATTAGCACAAAATTAACATGTTTAACTTGTATTATAGACATAAAATGTTAATTTTTTGTAACTATTTATTAAGCACTGACTAATGTTCGGTACAAACTTGTAATAACTTAACACGAATCTGACACGATACGGGTCGATTGTCACATCTAATTTTAGTCAGTACAAAAAAAAATTAAAAAAAATAGTCTTTTTTAGTTTCCATCCATCCAACTAATCAAAAAAGAAGAAAAGTGTATCGTTCTTACTTTCTATCTTTGAAGGATAAAAAATGTATCCCTCATATTTTTCATTCTTACTTTCAAATGAAACATTAATATAAAATAAAATCCTGTTATTTGGGAAATTTAAGGAGCCTTACTCAATGTGGCGACGAGCAAGTTTGTATTTGCCACATGATTGGATTTGTTAATCCAATCCTTTCCATAACTGTGGCACGACGAGGTGGGTTTTGGTAATTTGCAAGCAAACCCATGTTTGGATAGTGTTGTATTACAGGGGAATATAATCTTGGCCCCATTCATTGACACTTACGCCTGACATTTGACTAAATTGACATAGAGATCCCTTGATATTTCCAAAATTACACGAAAACCCCTTGTTACCGTCCATGGGTGACCTGCATTAACATTAACATAAGTGATAAATGACTATTTTAACTTTTTAATTTAATTTAAAATAAAATAATAAATAAAATATATTATCAAAAATTAAATTAATAAGTTAAAAAACAAATCTCTCTCTTGCTCTCGCATCTCTCTCATCCCTTACACCACCGCCACCATTCCTCCTCTGCCCTCTTTCTCTTTACCAATCTGTAACAAATCCCATCACACCCAACCCTCCCAACCAACTGTCATCACCAGCACCACCACTACTTCAAACCCGTCAATTAGGCTCCTGCCCCCTCCTTATAACAAACCACATCGACCCAACCCTAGTTGCCACCACCACCATCATTACTCTAAATCCATCACTTCAAACCCCCTTATCTTTCTGTCTCTACCTCTCTCTTTTCTCTCCCTCTTAGATACCCAGTCCCTCGCCCTCCAACTCTTCCCTACAACAAACCCTATCAACCCAACCCCAGTTGCCACCACCATTCCAAATNTATATATAAAATCATGTCCTCTACATCATGCATGCTAACCCAATTTTAATTCAAACGATTCTGTCCTCCGTCCATATAATGTCAAGAACAGTTGATGAACTTTCAAAGCAAGTCAGTTTTTTCTTAACCAAGTCCATTCCTGAGGTTTCCACTTACTCATGATCTAGTGTTTCATAAGGCCCCAGGATATGATTCCAAGTTTGTCATTGTGGCCAATGATGTTAGTATATTACCTTTTGGAAGTGCCCAACTTGGTTTGTGCTGTCAACAAGGTGAGCAGCTTTCCCAAAGAAGGTATGGACTCCAGTGGCAATAACCACTGCCTCGATTTCTCCTTGTTTGCAGGTTGAGCCTGAAAAAACTTCATCACCTGGGTTCTTCGTTACGGGCAATGATTCTCCTGTGAGGGCAGATTGATCAATCTTCAGCGGATCTCCTTCCAAGAGACGAGCGTCTGCTGGTACGATGTCTCCCAACTTGATGCTGATTACATCCCCTGGTACAAGAATCGCTGCTTCCTGCTCAGCCCATCTTCCATCTCTCAGCACCTTAATTAGCAACATAAAACAGAACCACATTACATTCAAGGGGAATCTAACATGTATCTCATTTCAGTTTTGCCGTAGTCTTTTATATTATATACCTTGGTCTTCGGGGCAAGACCTGCCATTAGCGCTGCAGCGGCATTTCCTGCATTGTTTTCTTCTACAAAGCTTATAGTAGAGTTAATGACAAGCAATGTCATTATACCAACAAAATCTTGCCAATCTGGTGGCTCACCCTGTATTGGTTTGTTGGAAAATTAGAAATATGTTAGATTAGATTGGTATTTTCAGAGAGAGAGAGAGAGAGAGTTACCCCTCCATTTGCCAAAGCAATGGCCATGATGGCAGCACACTCCATAACCCATGACAAAGGATTCCACATAAAACCCAAGAATTTAAGAAACTTACTTTCCTGTTCCAATGTCGTCATTAAAACATCAAATTTTCTATGTCTACTTATCAAACAGAACAAGAAGATCAAAAGTACTTATATAAAAGAAAACTTTGCCTTTTTCTCCTCTAGCTTGTTTTGACCAAAGATACTGAGCCTCTGCTGCCCTTCTTCACTTGTCAATCCCTCTCTTGTACATTTTAGCTGCACGAATACCTCCTGAACCGGTATTCTTTCCTGTACATAAATAAAACATATTCTGATTAAGGAGTATTAATGCCTTCACAGCATGCCCTTTAGGCCACTATACAAGTTAATTGCCTAAAATAATGTTTAAGTATTGTACTAAGTTCATCTAATCTAATTTCAGATTTCTGGTGCAAACTTTTTTTTCTACATTCTGTACATGCCCAAACTAGTTATTATTAACAAGAGCATGTAAAATGACTACATCTCAAGAACTACAACTCAACAAAGCCTTTAACCCAACTATTTTGGATCGGCTACAAGAATCGTGTTTCTCCAATGTGTTCTATCAAGGGAAGAGCACGCAACACATTAGTGAAATTTCATGACCCATTTTAGTTCCTCACAGTTCATTACGAGAATTTATAATATGGCATTGCTGAGAAATTAAGCTAAAATAAAGTAAAAAAAAAAAAAATCCTAGTAAGTCTCTGTCATTGTAAAAGCATTATGCATCGAAGTAGTTTTCGCGTTTCTCAGATCAAAAATTGCCTTGGTTTTATCTCCCTTATGAGTAAATGTGTTACTGCTATGGCATAAAGTGTACAAATTGAAGTGCCACCCTTTGCAGATTACAGATGCCAAACATGGCACCATGAAAACACAACAAACAAACAGAAACTGTGACCAGAACATAAAGACCACCTATGATAAAACAAATGCTGCATTTCTTAGAAAGTACTCTTACACAGCAGCCCCCAGGTTACTCAACAAATGAATCACCCATTAACACATAATAGGGAGGTGCCATGGTAACGGTTTAATGGACTCAGGTCGTAGTGGAAACCACTGATTTATACGTGCATGATGAGTTTTAGGTCAGACAAAAGGTAAAAGAAGAAACCCTAATCAAGCAACATTAGCAATAATATGCCGGCGTTTCACGAGGTTGATCTGCCACTATAGATTTATTAACAACACAAATATACTCGATTCACAATATCTGAAAAATCTGATGCAATGTGGAAGAAAGAACAGCAAGAAGAAGGATAAATAACATCAAGAACCCAAAGAGACGAGAGACAAGAAACGAAGGCTCATACAAGATCGATGCTCTCGTTCTTGATTCCTTCCAAGCTGATCCCTGCCATCTTCTCTCACTACAAATATATACCCACAAAATCTTTTTTCTGTATAAACTTTATTCCCTCTCTAGAAAGCTTCAGATACAGAAAAAAAAAAAAAAA